AGGAATCATACATTCACAGAAGTAAAAAAAAAAAAAAGAAAGGCAACATAAAAGAATGTAACACCTCTTTGAATAATTAAAACTAATGTTCCACAGCATATGTAACACATCTTAATATAATGTTCTACATTTTTTCAATTTTGCATAATGAAAAGTAAAAAGTTTTAACTTCAACATAGTGAAGTTATACACAAGAAGTTGTGATGAAAGGATGCAGGAGAATACTTAAGCAAGGAATGCTTTGTGGAACAAATAATCAAACAATACTGCAAATTGGCAATTAAAACATTTGAGGTTAAAGCCAGGAGTACACATTAAAGTTTGAGTTTTGCTATTTTATTTACCTATTTTAAGTGCCAGTTGGGAAGTCACATTTTTAAAGTGGAAACCTGAAGTTGTGAAGTTGTAAAGGAGTAGTAGTATTATATAAAGTGATTAAATATTATTTTCTTGAGAAAAAAATAATAATTACTAATGTTGTATAGTATAACCTACTAAACCTCACGAAACATAAAAGCAGATACCTTCTTAATGAAAAGCCAAGCAAATATTAAGGCTCAGAAGAGACAAATATACTTACCAAGTAAAGTGAGTCACCTAAGACCAACACTTCAACTCAAATACCACACTTCTACTATAACCCCTTTCTTAAGCCTTAATGCTTCTTGATTCCAGGCAGGCAAAATATTATGGATGAATTCCTCTTTCTATATCATTCAATCTCTCTTTTTTACAAACTTTTAATTAGTCCCTAACTTTGAGCCATCATTGCTATCTGTTATTAAGTATTAAGAGCTATCCCTGTTCATTTCTCCTCAGCACCTCTCGTCAAGCATCCTACCCTGAGACTTCTCATTTTAATTGTTAATTTTTTTTTCAACAAAGGGCAATTGAGCTTCCCTAATGATCTCAACTTATTTGGAGACTTTCCTGCTGCAGTGCACACCTCCAATAAAAGAAAGGGTAAATTTCACTAGAAATTTCTGAGGGTTTGCTCCTGCCAAGAACAAAATTGGTTCCCTGATAACTGCCTTATCCCCCATATTAATTGTGGTTGTTTGAAAGAAAATAGCTTCTCAAAGAGAGTGGTACTATAAGAAGATGTGGACTTGTGGAATAGTTGTGTTGTTCTTGGAGAAGTGTGTCACTGTGAAGATGGGCTCTGAGGTCTCATATATGCTAAAGATACCACCCAGTGTCTCCAAGCACTTCCTGTTGCCAGCATAAGATGTAGAACTCTCAGCTACCTCTCCAGCACCATGTCTGACTGTAAATTGCCATGTTCTACCATAATGATAATGGACTGAACCTCTTAACTATAAGCCACCCAATTAAATGTTTCCATATATAAGAGTTGCTGTAGGGACTGGAGAGTTGGCACAGAGGTTGAAAGTTGGCCTTCCAGAGATAATGAGTTCAATTCCCAACAACCTCATGATGGCTCACAATCATCAGTGATGAGATCTGATGCCTCTTTCTCGTATGTAGGGAGAGCACTGTATACATAATAAATCAATAAATCTTAAAAAAAAGAATTTCTGCAGTAATGGTGTCTCTTCATAGCACTGTAAACCATAACACAGAAGTTGATAACAGTAATGGGGTTCTACTGTGGAAGTCATGACCAGGTTTTGTTCGGAGAAATTTGGGTTTTGGAAGTTGGGGTTAGTAAAGTAGCAGAATGGTTTAAGAGCTATTTAATGGACCACACCAGTAGGAGAACAGAACACAGTGGTGCTGAGTGATTTGAAGTGTGGGAGTTGCTTCAAGGAGTTGCACAGAAAAATTTTAATATGTTGCCTTGAATTGTTCTTGTGATACTTTTTGCCCTGTCTGAAGTGTTTGCCTGAAGTTAAAGTACAGAGTTTGGGATTCATTTCCTTGGCAGAAGAAATCTCAAAAACAGCCTAGTATAGATTGTATTGTGTTGTTACTTGTGTAAACTTTAATGAAGATCTACAACGTAAAGGAGCAAGCTGAACAAGGAAAAATATTTGAGAAGAAAAGGATCACCAAAAAGTGGAATTGAGCTAAGTCTTATATTCTAGGAAATAAAGAGATTCAGAAATGAAATAAAGGAAGTGATGAACTCAGGGCAAGATGCTACCCATCTAGTATCCAATTTGTCAAAACAAATTAAATCTTAAGCAGGTAGTAGTGGAGCATGCCTTTAATCCCAGCACACAGAAGGCTGAAGTGGGCAGATTTCTGAGTTTGAGGCCATTCTAGTCTACAAAGCATTTTCGAGAAGAGCTAAGCTGAGGCAGTGAAGGGAATCACTGAAAATAGAAAGCTAGTGATGATGTAATCAAATGAGAAGGCCATGCTCTACCCCATCAAGCAGCAGAGCATGGTGAATTCAACAATGTGGGTCTGGCTTCAATGACACAAGGAAGGAATTATGGAACCTTACTCTTTTGCTAAGGAAAGCCACTATGGCCAAGCATGTGTCAGGGGTGTCCCTGAATGGAGGTCTAGAGATGTTATTGCATGAAGCTCTGAAAGTGAAGCCTGGATTGCCTTGTAGTCTTCAAGATATTTGAAAGGCTGAAGCTGTGGAATGCCTGTGGAGGAAAGCTGCTGACTGGGAGTGTAAGCAGCCTAAAAGAAAGAAGTGTGTTGCAGTCAACAAAACTGAAAAGATTTGAAGATCTGAAAAGCACTTTGACATCAGACATGAGATGATACAGAGTTTGGAGTTTGCCCTGATAGTTTTCAGTTTTGCACTGGTCCAGCATTTGCTCACCATGCTCACTTCTCTATGTTTTGGGGAATGGTAATTTACATCTTGTACCATTATATGTTGAAGTTTATGATCTGTTTTGATTTTGATTTTACAGGGGAATACAGTTTAGAAATTAAATCAATTCCTAAAGGGACTTTGAACTTTAGACTTTTAGATAGGTTTGAGACTGTTATATACTATGGAGGCTTTTAAAGTCAGTGAATGCATTTTTGCATTTTGATAGAGCTACAAGCCATTGGGGGCCAAATAGTGTAATGTCATGGTTTGAAACAAAATGACTTCTAAGAGAGAAACACTACTAGGAAGTATGGCCTTGTTGGTGTAGGTATGGTCTTTTTAAACTGTTTTTATTGAGTTATATAATTTTATTCACTCCCCTCTCTATGTCTTCCCTCCCCTTCTATTCTCTCCCATGATACCAATGCTCCCAATTTACTCAGGAGATCTTGTCTTTTTCTGCTTCCCTTGCAGTTTAGATCCATGTATGTCTTTTTTAGGGTCATCACTGTTGTTTAGATTCTCTGGGATTGTGAATTGTAGGTTGATTTTTCTTTGCTTTATGTCCAAAAGCCACATATGAGTGAGTACATATAATATTTGTCTTTCTGAATCTGGGTTACCTCACTCAATATGTTTTCTAGAGTCATCCATTGCTCATATATTTTAAGATGAAACTATTTTTTTCTACTGTGTAGAAATCCATTGTGTAAATGTAAGACATTTTCCTTATCCATTCTTCGATCAAAGCGTATTTAGGTTGTTTCCAGGTTCTAGTTATGAAAAGTAATGCCGTCATGAACATAGCTGAGCACAACCCCAGATGGACAGGGAAAGAACAAGCATAGGACCAAACTAGTCCCTCTAAATGTGGCTGGCAGTTGCATATCTGGGACAGAATGAGGGACCACTGGCAGTGGTGCCAGAATTTATCCCTACTGCTTGTATTAGTTTTTTGGGAACCTATTCTCTTTGGATGTACACCTTGCTCAGCCTAGATATAGTAGGTTAGGCCTTGGACTTTCCATAAAACAATGTGCCTTACCCTTTCTGAGGATTGAATGGGGAGTATGTATAATGAAAAAAGATAGTTTGTTTTCTTTTAAAAAATAGATAAATATAAAAGAAGAATTGCTCTGGTCATGATACCTCTTTATTATAAAAGAAACCCTAAGACATTAAAGAACCGTTTTCTTTTTCTGAAAGACCACTCTAGCTTAATTATAGAAGGTGTCCTTCCTTTGATCCATCATGCTTTCAGGCTATCAACCATATGATTCTTCTAACCACAGTAACTATGTAACACATTAGTATATGTTGCTGCATACAATTATTTACTGTAGTAGAATGGTGATGGATGTAAGGTAAAGGAAATTTTAAAAGCTACATTACTTTGATAGAGAATATGAAAAGTTACCTAGTGAGTCAAGAGCTCACAATGATACAGCAGTATTGTTTTATCAAAATGTATACATATCATTATTATAAGCCTCCTTTGGGCTGCTGTGTAACAGAACTCACATATAATAATGCCTAATATTACTGATTATTGTCTACTTGTCAAGCCTTTTACAATGACTCAGAGATATCCCAATCTTTTAAGCAACATAATGCTCCTATCCCATGCACTTGTTTTTTATCCCCATTTTGCTGGTGATGATGGTGGGGACAAGTGGAAAAGTCAAGACTCTAATATATGTGCTTATACTCTAGGTAATATGACCTAAATACTTGCACCATGGTGTAACTTTGATCCTTAGACACATTTCCTGAGACATAAAATTTGCTTTTAAATATCAAAAACGTTAAGAGTTTTATCTTTTTTTTTTTTAATTTTAATCCTATTGAATGCTGTGAAAGAGGGGAGGCATCACGCTATCTTGAATTTGAAGAAAAACTAAGGGTGGTATGTTGCTATTCCTAGCTCCTTCCTTACACAATGTCATGCAAAATCAGATAGAGTGAATGAGCCCAATCTATGATCTGAACAGTGGCAGAAGACTGGCTTAGCTTAGAACTTGAAATGGCTATGGGTAGAGCTTTCTATGCTGTGTGCCTGTGTGGTCTGCCGAGAGACTTAATGTTTCCAGTCTGAGGGAAGATAAAGAGATGCTTTTCTCATAATGACTTGGTAAGAATATAATTAGTTATCTTCGTTTCTCTACAATAAAACAGATACATTTTGCATTGTCCTCCTCAGGTTTTTTTTTTTTTTTAGGGTAGCCCACCTTTATTTTCAATTAAAAACCTAATACAGTAGAGTGAATTATTTTTATTAATATGCACAGCAAATTACTGAAATGGTGACTTCATGTCTTTCCCTTAAAGATGGCACTTGTAGGTACAAGGATGAAGAGATGTGTACACACATCAGATGTTTACTTGAAAAGACTCTTCTACAGCAGTTTGATACTGGGCTTCCTCATCTAGCTGAAGATTCACAAATTCTCCATAATCAAACTGATGTCTTTGATTTAGATGACTAACGAAATTTCTAGTAATCTGGCTAGGATCTCCCCAAGGAAGAGACACACAAATAGGACATGTCACAGGAACTATCTGAAATAGATGGTTACTATTACAGTGATCCAATAAACGCTGTCTGGTGAAATTTGACTCTTGACATAAGGGACACTTAAAGGTGGGATGCCCAGAAGAACTTGTATTCTCTTGGTAAGTTTCTGTGTTATCAGATGAAGGTGTTTCATTCCTATTACTGCTCCTTACTGGATCTTGAGAAGTCTTAAAGTTTGGAATGACAGAAGAAACACCATATTCATCCTGATACTTCTTACAAGATTTGTAATGATGTCTCATGCGATAGAATTTAATCTTTTTTGAACAGCATCTGCAGCTACCAGAAAACTTCCTCATGATATTTTCAAGATCTAAGGCCCGTTCTGGACATGCTCTTTCTCTTCTCGTCACACTTCCACGACACAGGGGACAATGAATTCCACTTTCTCTCATTGCAGTCAGGAAACATTTTCTACAGAAAACGTGCTGACAGGCCGCGGTCCGCACCGGCGTCTTGAACACCTCCTGACAGACGGGGCAGTAGAAATCGTCTTCCGTGTAGGACGTGGCCGCCGAGCCCCTCGGACATGGCGGGGGCTGGGCGGGAAAGGCAACGGCGCCGGCGGGGCCCGGGTGGTAGTGTCGGCCCTTGGCCCTCAGCCCCGACAGAGCCCTGAAGGGGGAGGGAGCGGTGTCCCCTCCTCAGGTTTTTAGAGACTATTTTGCCAGCTAGGGCAGGAAGGGCCACAGTAAACATATTTAAAGCTAGAGCTTATTATCTCCCTTTTTAGTTCTGCATGTACAAGTATAGAAAACACGAAAATCCTCACCTCCCAAAGAAATGGGTGGCTTTTATTTGCAGGCCCAAGGCTGACCTATGTCTTTTTTGAAAAAAAAAAAAAATGAGATGCCAAAATATTATTGTCTTTTCTAACTTTGTAGAGGCATAGGATAAGTTTACAGAATGAGGTTTTAAGTTCTTTTTCTTTGAGAAAGTGAAACCAGGTGCATCTTGTAAAGAAGAAATGTCTATGGTGAAAAATACTTGAAATGATTGAATTAGGAATGAAATCTACAGATGGCTAATGTTAACATGTTACAGAACATAGTGTCTGTGGAGAAGAGCTCAGAAAATTTTCAAAGTCACGGAGACCAATGCAAGAATAATTAAACATATATTAGCAAAGTTAAAGTGTTCATACCAGGAAAAAAATGCATGGAGGCAGCCAATGCTACGACCTGACAGAGATCAGCTTTGAGTCATATTGAGATCACAAAAAAAAAAAAAAACAGGAATACCAAGAACTCAGATGCTTAATTAACTGTTTCATTATTAAAAGTTTAATTTCACTTCCTTATATTTAACTACAAGGAGAAGCCTATTGCTCTATAAGATTTTGGGTCTTAATGAACAAAGATGAAAATCATTCTACAAATCCCACCAGTTCAGCAGTTGATCTGTTATTAACTGTTTTTGATTATGGACACAGAGCAGCAGCAACAACAACAACCATATTTCCAATCTGGCACTTTACCCCAGCATTAATAATATTTAAAATTTAGAAGTGCTGTGGATCTCACTGAAAATTTTCTAAATTTAGAGTATGGATTTTAATAGGTAACAGGCATTATGGGCAATTTCATTATTGCTATGAGAGTTACTGTTGGTTACCAGGACTCTTATCCCAGAGTATTAAGAGAACTTTTGATACAACAGAAAAGACAAAGCCTGGGACATAGTTTTATGGAATTAAATTGGTCAACAACATTAAACCAAAAACCTGAATGGGGATGAAGTTACTTAATAAATGAGGAATGATCAACTCCTATAGATATTCATGTGAGCTTCAAAAATATGTTACCTATGTTGGTTTCAAAATCCTGTCCATTAAAAGTGTGTGTGTGTGTGTGTGTGTGTGTGTGTAATAAAAAAAAAAACGAAGGAGCATTTGTTGTGTGATTCAGAAACTGATGTTTTCTCAGAGAAGTAAATTTAAGTTCCACTCACTTATTATTATTCATAGTATTATTTTTAGATAAACATTAAATGAACGGAAGACAGCACCCTAAATTAGAAAAGAAAAAATTCACCTATTTCATAAGAGAGAATTAAAAAATAAGAAAATAGAAATACAGATTGGTATTAATATTCATACACACATTATTGGAACAAATAAAATTGATAACAAAATATGTATGAATTTAAGTATTTAATTAATCATAATTAATGTATATTTTAAATTTCAACTCACATAGACATATATATGTATGTATATATGGTTATATATGACATTATTATGTACAGAACTTTTATAAGAAAACCTAAAGCACCAGGGTACTCGCAGTTTGAAAGAGAGCAAGGAGAAAATATAACATGAATGTACTCACAGTCTTAGAGTTTGTATAGCTACTAAAATTTCAGATGACTTAAAAATCTACTGTCAGATAATGAAATCATTCTATACAAAAACATGCTCAATTTACTAAGAGACTATTAAAAATGCAAATATAAGTATTAAGTAAAAGAGTGTCTATTTACGTAAGGTAAAATGGCATCAAAGAAGAAGATAACTGATGTATGTCATAGCATGAAGATTAAAACATTCCCCAGCAAGTGGTAGAGAATATAGAAGACATGCAAGACTGGTAAAAGGAATAGCTTGATTATTAGAATATTCACTCACACTGACATCCAAAGAGGTTGTACCAGCTTGCACTCCCACCAATAATGTAGAAGTGTTCCCTTTAACTGAGAACTTCTCCAACATAAGTTGTCATCAGTGTTTTTGATATTGGCCATTTTTATAAGTGTAAGATGGAATCTCAGACTTGTTTAGATTTGCATTTCTCTGATGACTAAGGATGTTGAACATTTCCTTAAGTGTCTTTCACCAATTTAGATTTTTCTGTTGAGAGTTCTGTATTTAGGTCTGTATTCCATTTTTTTAATTAGATTATGTGTACAAGACCCTTTAATCCCACTTTGATATCCAAAGAATGCTCAATCATGCCACAAAGGCGTGTACTCAACTATGTAACAGCATTGTTTGTCATAGCCAGAACGTGGAAACAATCTAAATGTCCCTTGACCAAAGAATGGATAAGGAAAATGTAGTACATTTACACAATGGTGTTCTACACAGTAGAAAAAAATAACGACATCTTGAATTTTTCAGGAAAATGGATGGAGCTAGAAAACATCATTTTAAGTGAGGTTACCCAGACCCAGAAAGACAATTATCACATGTACTCACTCATAAGTGGTTTTTAAACATAAAGCAAAGAAAACCAGCCTACAAACCACAATCCCAGAAAACTTGGGTAACAATTAGGACACTAAGAAGGAATTGAATAGATCTAATCTACATGTGAAGTAGAAAAAAAAATGGTCTTCTGAGTAATTTGGGAGCATAGGGCCCTTGGGGGAGGGCTGAAGGAAGGAGGGGAGAGGCAGGGAGGGGAGTAGAAAAAAAAATGTAGAGCACAATAAATATCAATAAAAAAAGAAAGAAGGAAAGGAATGCTTGAGATAAAAATACTAAACCGAAACCCAAAAAAAAATATTCACTCAAAATTAATTCCTAAATTTCATATAACTGATCATTTTCTATAATAGATTGCTTTGCCCCATCTTTGCTCCACTTTGACAAAAAATGAAATTCTTAAACATCAATATAAATTTATTGAAGTAAATGTATATATGTACACAGATATACATGAGGGAAAATATCTTTCATTTCTAATTCTAAAAATGTCTTCCAGAGTTCAAACTATAGGGAGAGTCACCCATTGCTATTAAAAATCAATTTTAGATATTATCATGACAAAAATATGGAAATATTGATACATTATTTAAACACAACAGATTATTCAAAACATGGAAAACTTCTAGATAAAATACTAGTAAACCACATTCAATAAGTGATTTTAGAGTCACAACCATCATGAGAGCGAGAGTTTCCTGAAGCAGTTAAATTATAAAATCTCTACATCTATATCAATTTAACAGATTAAAATAATTTTTCTCAGTGGATTCAGTAATATCTTTCTATTGTAGAATTAAATTTGTATTAAAACTCTCTCCATAAATAACATATTGAAATCCTTTGTATCTCTAAAATTAAGAGAATAGTGTTGTATCAATGACCAAATTTTTCCCTATCATCAGTTGAGCTTTAGGTAATTATAGGATAGGATCATATTTGAGAACAGCCATAAAAGACATATTCCTCAGGCATCAAGTAAGGCAATTTCCCAGCTACAATCACTTATGCTATGCAGCTCTTTCTTATGTGTGATTTTTCTTTTCTGTCTATTAATATGGCTGTCTCATAGTGACAGGAGAAGCCCTGAACCTCTCAGAACTCTGAGTTTGGCCTGAATTGTTAAATATTTCCCTCAGAAAAATCTACTGAATTTAATTGCCTAAAATTTGTTAAAGATTATAAAACTTGGCAATTATTTAAAACAGAAATATCTTACATAATAATGAAAAATCAAAATTCCTTAATTAAGTCTTCTCTAGTTTTATCATTTCTCTAATTTTCAAATTTGGGTGATGTAGTGGATTTAGTTTGCAGTGTTTCTCACAGGCTCCTGCACTATGACACTGGGTCCTTAGTTAAGATTCTTTCTGGGGAGACTACAGATCACTTTGGAAGCAGAAGCTGGCAACCAGATGTGGTCACCAGGAGTAGAAATTTGAAGGTTCTGTCAATCAGCCCTGATTCCAGTCTTAGTGTCTCTCTTCCTTACCTGTAAGATGTGACAAATGGCTGGGTCCTTCGCTCTCTCTCATATTGAGATACCGTGTCACCACCCCTTCCCAGCTGGGATGGAGTATATCCTTAGCAACCATCAGCCAAGCAGAATGCCCCCACCCCTTGAGTTCTTTTACCACATATTTGTCATATATTTTATCACAGTAATGAAAATATAACACACAGACTTGAGTCCCAACATGATATATTGATACCATTAGGATACTGTCCTTGCAGTGGCCACACTGTCTTTGCACTAAGAGAAACTGAGGTTCAAGGAAGAATACTTGTTTGGGAAACCCAGATATAGAGCAGACAACAGTATAAGCCCATCTTTCAGAAGTGTGAAACAAGGAAACTTCTATTCCTTATAAATCTCCAGGTCCGAGTGTTTGTTTATAGTAATAGAAAGGAAACCAGAAGATAAAATTAGGGACAGCTTTTTAATAATAACCAGAGAAATGCAAGGGAGAAATATAACATACTCAGAGGCCTGCTAACAACAAAAGTGATAAAAATAGCATTGGAGAATGTGTATATTATGTTTGATAGTCAATGCTCCCTCGGTCAGTTCTCTACCATGGAGAAAACCAGAGAATTTCCAAACTACACCTTAACAAAATAATCTATAGATTGTTTAAATATTTTGATATACCTTTTTAATCAATAAAATTTTAAATAATTCGGCTAAAGGTAAAGGAAGTGTAAATTTACTTAATAAAAGTAAAATACAAAAGGACAAAATGTAAGTAAAAGTATGGATTAAATTAAAATATTAAGGTGTTATTTACTATTAATCCATTAATAGAATATTTATAATCCTTATTAGTGCCAATAGTTTACTATAGAGAATATTCAGAGACCCTTTAGAGATAAAAGTCAGTCAAAAGGAGAATAAAATGGGTGAAAGATATGATCTTGCCTTTCTACTGTAAAGGAGATACAGCTGGTTTGCAACATGTGAGAAGAAAGATATTAACCACATCAGAATCTGACCAGCAAAGAATTGTCTATTCACACCCAGAAGACTAAAGAAATTGAAAAATTCTAGCAATGACAGTAGTAGGAAGAATGAAGATGAAAATAATTCTCACTAACCAGAACTGGGTGTATAAATTGATTCTATTTTGGAAAAATAGTTCAGTCATTTTGCCATAAAACACATTAGTCATACCCCAAAATTAAGCAATTCCACTAGAGTGATGAAAACAAGCAAGGGAAACTTTACAGAAGTGTTTTATGGGGTTAATTGTGTTAGAGATGGCACAGAAATATATTCTGAGGAAGAGCATACAGAAGACTACAAAACCAATAATACTTTATCTCTTAAATTGCTGGATATATGGTGTAATAATTTATTATTTTTGTTATAATGTACATGTAACATTTATTTTTATATGTACTATATATTTCAATATATAATTAAGGATAACTTTATGAAGAAAAAGTAATCTCAAAGTGCAACATAATACCTGAAGAAAGAAGATACCAGGGGAATATCTCAGCTAATAGGCAAAAATCCTGCAAATATCAGGTCTAATAAACTGACCTGGCAAAATCATAAGCAGCAAGTGATCCAGTAGTCAAAAACACAGATGTCTGATGAGCACTCAATGGAGAATGAGTGATGAGTGATAAAACAGTGGCTGGTTTAATGAGTGATGCTAGAACAAATGCTTGACAAGATGAAAACAAACAAAAAATCCTATCAATTCTTATTCAAAATTAAAATTTATTTTGTATAGCTAAAAACTGTCTTAAAATGCATATTATATGTGCTCTGAGAGACAAATCAGAGGGTTAAGGCACTTGCAGCCAAGTATAATAACCTGAACTTGATCCTGGGTTGTTATGTGGTTGAAATAAAGAAGAGACTACAGACTTCAAAAAGTTGTCTTCTGACTTCCATGGGGAGCTGTTACACAGGCACACATGCACACACACACACACACACACACGCACGCACGCACGCACACACACACACACAGAGAGAGAGAGAGAGAGAGAGAGAGAGAGAGAGAGAGAAATATTAATGAAATTGCAGTATTTAAAATGCACCTCTTAAATGAATGCAAATCATATATCTACTTTTCTAGCAATGAATGTCTTAATGTTAATTAATTCAGTCATCAGTTACCTAACTAAATTCCAGACAAACAATAGAGTTTAAGAGAATGTAGCAAAATTGACAGATGGGCACTGTTTATCCATTAGAATTATAACTTCTTAAAATTGAAAAAAAAAATCCTGTAAGAGGAAAGATATATTTTTATCACTGGCAAAAGGTATACAAAGTTGCTGAGACTTTTAATGAAAAAGGATAAAAGTTAATTTAACAATCAGCTCATACTTCAAGTTCATTAGAAGTCTGTGGATCTTGGTAATTCAGATGGACATAAAATGGTTACAGTCTGATAGTAAAATAATATAGTAAAAACCATTTAAATTTTATATGCCCTTCCTATTTTTTTTTTCAGCATTCAAGCCTCACTTTAACCTCCCTCCTTACCTCCCAGTACCTCCCCGACACTCTTTCTGTTCTCACCCCCAATTCACTCCTCCTCCATTTCTGTTCAGGAAAGGGCAGGTCTCTCATTGATATGTCAACAAAATGTGGCATAACAAGTTGCCATAAGACTGAGCTCATCTCATGTATTAAGGCTGGACAAGGTAACATATTATGAGGAGTAGGATCCCAAAAGCCAATAAAAGAGTCAGAGACAGTGCCTGCCCCACTGTTAGGAATCCAACAAGAAGACTTAGGCAGGTAGCTCACCATGATCATATATATAGTGGTTAGGACTTGCCTTGTGCCCTTACAATTCTTAAAATAATATTTTATTTTAATGATAAAGTTATATAACTTTATATAATTCATTGTGATCACATTCACTCACATTCTCCAACAACCTCTCTGCCTTACTATCCCTACCCACCCAACTTTAAATGTTACTCATTAAAACAAATGTCACACATAACCTGTGGGTAACAAGCAACTCTATAATTGGACTTAAGACCCAATCAACAAGTGGAAACTGGAAACCTATCCAGTTACCTAGGGCTAGTGAAGTCACAGATCACGGAGAAGGTCCTACAACATCCACTTTACTAAAGCAACACAGTTGTTAGCTACTGTTTTAAGTATTTGTTCGTAGTCACAGTCAAGTGAAGTCCTCACCCCTCATCTGTGAAACTTTTCTTTACAACAGACAGACACGATTATGGATAACTACAACCAACCAAAGTGCAAAGTTGTGTAGCCAAGTCTCAGTAAATGCACCTGCAAAACACTGCACCTAAAGCTCAAGGAAGATTGTGGCAGAGGGGACAGAAAGATTATAAGAGACAGTGGATCAGAGAGTTTGTTATGAGACTATGTCTTCTAGGAATCTTAGAAGCTATTCCCAATAAGTCTCACCAACATTACTACCCAAACATAAGCTGAACAGGGGCAACAATAGTAAATGTGCCAAGCAGGACAAGAGAAAGCTCAGTAGGTTTAAACCCAATACAAAGAACTTGCAGCTTTAAGGCAATTCTGAGAGCAAGAGAAATAGTCTTCCTGAAAAAAAGCACACAAATTGTTTATTCAATACCAAATGGTCATCACTGAAAGCATATACATGTAATGTTATTTGGACATAGCAGCTTGTATTTATGTGCTCAACAATATATATATATATATATATATATGTGTGTATGTGTGTGTGTGTGTGTGTGTGTGTGTACATATATATGTGTATATGTATGTAATAACAATTAATGCAGATGGAGGAAACAGATTTTAAAGAGAGCAAGAAACCATATATGGAAGAGTGGGGGGGGGCTGGAAAAGGTAATGATGCAATTATATTATAATCTCATAAGTTAAATAAAGAATATAAATTTGACTATGAAGTCAAGTTTGGATGACCATTTACTCCTGAGGATGAAGTCCTACTCAGGAGCGTAGTCAAACTTATGCTAGGCAAATCCCATCATCGAGATGAGAAGGTAGCCATTAAATCCCAGTACTAGGTGAGAAACTATTGGCAACTGATAGCTTCAGGGAGAGGGGTAGTAAGTTTTATTTAATAAAGTGACCCCTGAACTGTAGACCCTTTATTTTTGGCTCAGTGTTTCTTGTTCGGAATTGATCTCTCAGAAACAAATACATAATATATACAGATTTATGTATGTTTATGTATATATTTATGTATATGAAGTTTATTGAAGCATTATTTATGGATTCAGAAGTAGTAACAAAGTAAAAAATGAGGATGGAACTGATGAAGGAAATTATACTATATTGACACCAAGGGACTACTTTACAAATATTAAAAACAATAGATTGGAATAATTTTACATAACAAAGAAAATACGATAACAAATTCCTAATGATTAGAAAACTAAAATGTAGAAGTAAATATATAATAATAAAAAAATATAATAAAACAATATATAAAATAGACTGTCCTGAAAAGAAAAATTTGTGAAATATCCAATATTATTCAATTTACAGGAGAGCTTGGTACTTAAATATTAATAAAATATGGAAGTGCATATGCCATGATGTTATGCATATCATCCCTAGAAACAGAAATAATTAGAATGTAATCAAACATAGGCAAGAATGAAGAATAACAAAATTGCCTCATAAAATTCTACCTTGAGAAAATAATGGATACATGATTAGATAGATAAACAGATAGATAGATAGATAGATAGATAGATAGATAGATAGATAGATAGATGTTAGATGATGGTTAAATAACAGACAGAAAGAATGTTTATTAAATAGATAATAACACACCAGCATCTATTTAATAGATGATATTAACTATCATCTATGAAATAAACATTTTTGCAGATTTCCTACTTCATTGAAAAGTCTGACAGTAAGGGCCTATAGGCTGATGATGGATGACCCAATGTTACATAAAAACTTTGGGTTACTATCTAGGCAACAAGATGTCTCTGTCAATTCTAGAGTTTTAAAAGTTGCTTACAATACACTTCCTATTAACTTGGGTAATATATATCTTTCTGGGGTCTTTGATAGAGTTGAAGAATAGATCGTTATAATGATAGTTTTCCATAGTTATGATAAAAGATAAATAAAATATGAATATTGTAACTTTAATTCTTACTTAATACATGTTTTATTATATTAATATTTCTATGTTAAAATTAAAACCCTCCTTTTTATTTAGATAGAAAAGGGGAGATGGTGTGGAATTCCCCTCTGTATGCTATGAATATTTTTATTAACAATGATTATTAAAGAATCTGTTTTGATCAATGGCTTAGTAAAATCAGGCGAAAAATCCAAACAGATATAGTGAGAAAATAAATGAAATCAGGGAGACACCATATAACCGCTGAAAGAGACAGATGCTGGAGAACTTTATCCAGTAAGCCACAGCCTTGTGGCGATACACAGATTTATAGAAATGTGTTAAGATATAAGAGTTAGCCAAACATATGTCTAAGCTATTGGACAAATAGTGTTGTAATTAATATAGTTTCTGTGTGATTATCCGTGTCTCGGTGACTGGGAAATGAACAAGTAGTCTCTGCCTGTGTGATATCATATAACATGATGAATAATAGATATTTGCTGTATGGGTGATTGATGATGGTATAGTATAGGTAGAATAATGGTAGATGACAAGGTTAATGACAATGATAGGTTAAATCTTTCATTTAATAGACATATGATAGGTGGTATATAGAATATAGGTAGATGATATATGTTAAGCTCAGTGAGATATTTTTGACTAAGGAAAACATAGAAATATATTGAAGAACCTGATTAGCTTCAGGTTCCCACTTAGTCTATGAAAATTAACTTCTAAACAATTAATCATCCAATGGAACAACAGAGAAACTGTATTTCCATTAATCTGCCAGGCATGGAATGTCATTGAGGCCAGATGACAACTTTTTTCTCACAGTTTTGTTAGTTTTCCTTTTTTTCTGAACACACACAATGTAAAATGATAACTACTAGCCTGATGACTTCATCACTACATGAAAAGACTCAAAAATAAACAAGTCAAAGCAAGTTTCTATCAGCACTCCAAGATGTTTGAAGGATCAATTCCTAGCAATGGTTTCATTATGAAAAGAGCAACAATATTGATGATTAAAATTAAAGTAAATCTTGCAAAAATATATTTCTAAATGAAATAAATATATGATAAATATTTCACATTTTTATAATGGTACTATAAGTTTAGACAAAAATTCAGCATTAAGAATAAAAATATTTTTGCTGCAATAATCTCAATGTTAATTTAATGAGTATTTTGTGTTAATGTGTGGGTTTTCTTTTAAATTTATAAATTAATTGTAAATAAATAGGCTTAATATTTCTGTTGGAGTCCTTATTATATTCAATCAAAAAGCCTTTTAAAATATTGATTAAAATTAGATGCGTACATAAATCATATTTAAGAAACACTTTTGTTTTGGAGTATTTATTTTGTAAATTGTCTTGAATATTTTTATAAGGACAACCACTTCTTTATTAGTCTCTTAAATTTTGGCTGCAATATTGAAATATTTAACAAAGCAATTAATAATATTGTGCCAAAATCCTTCTGTATATGCTCATTTAGAACATTGAAGATGTGCACCATGCTGGAATAAAAGAGTGTGACGAGAATCTGTGGATTCTAAAGCAGCAGGAATT